GTGTCCAACACAATAACAGTGAGGAAAAGTAAGACTAGAGAGGTACACAAGAGATACAAAGATAAACACTTTTACATACCCAATACTGCATTTTCACTAATAACAAACATTAATCTATGGGTGGATACATAAGTAGACAGGTTAAATGATCAGGTATGTCTAGGCAAAAGATATACCCATGGCCATATATAAGTTTGGCAGATATTTCTACACAGATATTTGTATGTGTTGTAAGAATGTCTATATATAATATAGCTAATGGGGCAAAGTTATCATAGCCACAAACAAACACCCTGAGGGAAAGAGTCACTAGGCCCATGGGCTAGATACCATGGTAGCACGAGACATCAAGCTCAATTGGCATAACATACTACACAAAAACATTGTTCTACATCCTACTTTGGTGCATAGCAACTGGGGTCTTAAAAGTTTGCAAGTGGTTATCTAAGATGCAGCAATTGGTCTCTCCTCATCTGGAGCAAAGAAGAATGAAGAAAACTAAAGACACATTGAAACAATTAGTCCAAGACTAGTGGACCATGCAAACCTCAGCCTATAGACCATGAGACAAGAAGAAATAGTGTCTGGCTACCACTGTCAACCAGTCAAACAGGGATCAGTGTAGGAGATCCTGGATAGGGCAGGGAAAAAATGTGAAACATGACTCAAAATCATAAAAAATAAAAATAAAAAAGAGACCAAGATTACTAGTCTGATAGAGACTGGTTAAGCACCCAAGGCTATGGCCCCTGGTCACCCTTCGGTCCTGGAATTGAACTCACTCCCATGTCTTCCAGTCATATAAGGTAAACACTTACACCAGGTAGCTATACTTCTTACAACAATCAACCATGAAGAGCAGAGGGAAGTATTTGCACAGGGATGTAGCTCAGAGGGCAGGAATGCATAGGAAAAAGGATACAGGGATGAAGTGAAAAGAGAGCTATTACATTATAGGAGATTGCACTCAATGTCATGAAACAAAACATGTATGAACTGTTGTATGGAAAATGAATTTGCTCTATAAACATTCACTAATTATAAATTAATTATAATAATTATTATTATACATAATAAATAAATAAAATATCCTTTGCCATGAGACAGGAAGAACTGGGTGGTGCCTGGATACTGTTACTGAACATTTTGATCAAAGATTCTATAGATGGATCTTGATCAAAAGGGGAAAAATGCAGAACAGAATTATAAATTTTCATGGTCTACAGCCATCCTGGAGACATGAAGTTTGGGTGAACCCCTGAAACTATTACCATGAGATAATTTTTAAACCTCAAACCAAAAATATCCCCTGAAGTCTTCTTAAAATCAAACAATATTTAGTATAACTAATAAAACATGTCTGCCTTGAATATTACATTCATTTCATGCTATCATTATGGGACCAAAGTGACAACAACAACTCAAAAGATTAGATGAGGACCTTAAGAGTCAGTAAGTTTATTTTAATGAGAGAGGAAATAACTTAGAAGAGGGAGATAGTTGCACAACTAAAGAATGTAATAAATGTCACTAAAAGATACATGTAGAAATTATTAAATTGGTTTCATGTTGATGATATTCTCATGTTGATATTCTCAAAAATAAAATTGAAATATATATATATATATATATATATTATGGTGTAGCTGAATGTCATTCAAACTTACTGAACTTTCAATTTTCTGTGATAAACATAAAATACAACTCAAATATTTCTAATAAATGTTACATGTACAGATATCTGATAGGAAAAGAAGATTTTGTCCTTCTGAATCAGGATGGGGAGCCTAACAGTGGAGATCCCTGTTGTAGCTATTATGTCAGTTCCTATCATTACTTAATTATTCCCCAGGAAGCTTCAGAATCACCTGGGTAGTAGAGAAGAAAGAAAAGATAGAATCTATTTCAACAGCTACAGTATTCTTTAAGGAATAGCAAGACCTGCAGTTTTATTATAAGTGAAAATTCAAAAGTAAACTCTATTCAACAAGTACTATCAAATCATAAGGAGAGATGATAGCCCGTAATCCCTAAAGGCCATGATGTGAGGAAATAGGCATATATAATGCCTTCATCTGGTCTTTAATCTTAATCATAAACATGAGCTTTGAAATTGGCAAGAAAATTTTCTTCAGGGTTCACGTTTTGAAACCTCTGAGAGATTATGAACTGGATCATCCTGTTCCTCAGGGGTCCTTCACATGCATTTTGCTCAAGGGAGTTATATCTGATCTCCGCTGCCTCACCTTCTTCTCACCATTCATCCAAGGAGCAAGTGGAAACTGTAGAACATGTGAGTTACAAGTATTCGATTTTTTGTGTTAACTGATTTGATTAAAAAGTTAAAAATTCTTCTTATCTTTGAGAAAACGGGATATATTTTTATTTGATTAGAATGAAACCTGGCAAAAGATAATAATAATAAAACCTAGTAAAGTGAATTTTTCTTCTTCTTTCCCTGCATAGAGAGATATTTTTCATCCCTTTATAAGGTGAATAAGATATATTTACAAAGAGGTTTAGAGTTTCAAGTGAAGATGTAAATTAACTGATAAATTACTACAGAAAGATTCATTTTCATGACATTGTGGCATTGTGAGTAGAGGAAATATAGGAGATGTCTCTCTCCAGAAATATTTTCTTTCTGAAATTCATACATTTCTTTCAGTTTCATTAATGTGGCCTGGTTTTATGTGAATTAATTCTACTCTAATTCAAACAAAACAAACTCACTGCCACCAAGTTGGCTCCGACTCATAGCGACCCCTCCTTGGGTTTCTGAGACAGTATCTCTATGGAGTACATTGCCCTATCTTCCTTCGGAGGAGTGGCTGGTGGGTTTGAACCTCCAGCCTTCTGGTTAGCAGTCAAGTGCCTTAGGCATTACACCACCAAAGCTACTCTAACTAATAAAAATATTTAGTGTGGCTTTTTCCGTCTTTTTTTGTTTTTGCTGCACACATAGGATTTACTATAAACTGTGATGAATAATATTATCCCCAGGAAGTAATCAGAACCAAAAAGGATGAGTATTGAAAATAATTTGAAACAAATCTGTTGTCAGTGAACTCTTTCTAAGTGAAACAAATTAACTCAGATGGCTGAGAGTTGGGTCTGATGGAAATAAAACAAAGGAGTATCTAAAGAAAAATAAGACAATTCATTGAAATACACAAATATCGTTCAAACAAATAGTAAGAGCCATGATTCCCCAAAGGACCTGAGTTATTGATTGAATTCTTTTTTAAAAATATTCAACAGAAGTAACAGTTTCTGCTGGGATTATGAAAAATTTTGAAAGTCAATACCAATGATGGTTGCACAATATTGTGAATGTAATTGTTGCCAGTAAAATGTACACTTAAACATTATTAAAATGGCAGATTTTGGTTATATATATTTTAGCATAATAATAAAAAATTCAGCAGACTGAGTTTGGGACAACCCATACCCAAGACCTTTTTGCTTCATGCATCTATAAACACTAGCCCGGAAGGCTTTTAGGTAACATCTCACTAAACCTCAGTCAACCTTGTATGCAGTATAACCTGAAGAATCCTGATAGTGTCTCCCAATAAAGAAGTTTGGCAAGGGCTCCCCTGACTCAAAGCATTAGATTCCAACTTAAAAACACTTTCTTAAATATTCTTAATAAAATGTAAAAATATTTGCCAGGTTTGCAAAAGCAACCAAAATTTAAAAGAATTCAAAGTTTACTCTTTGAATTACCCTTGGCTATCAGATCTATGGGGACATCATCTGTCATATCCACATCTATTTCTCCAACACTTAAAAGTCCCATGGACACACTGAAGAAATTTAATTTTTTTTTAGATGAATTACTTTGTCTTAATGTAATATGTCAGAGAGAGACCCTGAAAAAACAGAAGAATTGAGTTTTGATTGAATAATAACTACCTGGAATTGAAGTAGCAGGAGGGAAAAAAGTGAGAAATTCTGTTTCAGATTGTTACTGATAGGAAACACATAGGTGGGACATCACTGTGAGATATAAGAAGAAATCAAATGTCTACTCAAAAGGTTGAAGAAAGGAATTAGTGTGATAAAGGGCAGTGATAAAAGAACATGTAAATCCTCACAGAAATGTGAAACTTATTTACCTTTCAATTTCTCTTGCAGCAGACTTGGACACGGCAACCATACAAGGATATTGAATTAAGTCACAACCACTGAGACAAGCCGCCCTCACCAATGTCAATGTCTTAATGGCCATATTGGGTTCACATATTCACATGGTAGCGTACCAAAATACTTAACCAGAGAAATTTACAGGCCAAAATATAGAGCTGTTCTTCACAATGTATATAGTGCATCCAGTAGCCTCAAAAAAGGGAGCATTTTTTTATGTACCAAACACACATTGCTAATGGATATGTGAAAAACCCTAGAAGAGCATCTACCCTGGAATGAGAGAAGTCTTTTTGATTATCTCTTTAAAGCACCATGAGTACACTGAAGGAACTAGAGCAAAGAGAAATATTATTGGTGCCCCGATGATTATTTGTGCACTGCATTGAAATAACATTTAAAAAATCTTGATTTAAGTACATCATTTTTATATCAAGATTACAAATCATAACAGATTGAGTATTCATAATACTGTTGAAATAACTTCACATATATGGAAATGTATGCACAATATCATGTAATATCAATAGTGCAGGTAGACAGATGAAAGAATAGACTAATTGAATCTAGATAATTTATCAAGATTACAAAGGTGTGCATTTTTTAGTATCTGCCTAGTGTTCCTAGCAGGGTAAGTATTTGTTCTCACTTCATGTTTTCCCTCCTTTCTATTACTGTGCCCTAATAAAATGAGATCACATGTTCAAAGGAAATATCATGAAATTTCATTTTGTGGCATACACAAAAGTTTATTTGTTGTTTAAGCAAAAGTGTAACAAATGAGAAAGAATTGCGCTGTTTCCAGGAAAAAACAACATTTCCATTGAAGTTCAATAACTGGTGTCACCTCCATGTCTTCCAGACTGATGAATGCATCCAGCTCTGTGAGCCACTTCATCCTCCTGGGCTTTCCCTCAAGCCAAGAAATGCAGCTCCTCTACTTCGGGCTCTTCTCCGTAGCCTACATGCTGACCCTGATGGGGAACGCAGCCATTGTCTGCGCTGTGCAGTGGGACCAGCGTCTTCACACACCTATGTACATATTCTTAGGGAATTTCTCTTTTATAGAAATATGTTATGTCACCACAACCGTCCCTAACATGTTGACCAACTTCCTCTCCACAAGCAAATCCATCTCCTTTGTTAGTTGCTTTGCACAGTTCTACTTCTACTTTTCTCTTGGGTGTGATGAGGGTTTTTACCTTTGTATCATGGCCTTTGACAGGTATCTTGCCATCTGCCGTCCTCTATATTATCCACGCATCATGACTAAAGACCTATACACTGGCCTGGCCATCTTTGGATGGTCTTGTGGATTTATCCTCTTCCTAACGCCAGTTGTTCTCATTTCACAATTGCCTTATTGTGGCCCAAATATCATCAACCATTTTGTGTGTGATCCTGTCCCACTGATGATGCTGTCCTGTTCTGAAGACACCACCACACAGCTCATTTACTCTACTTTCAATGCCATCTTCATGATTGGCACTTTTCTCTTTGTCCTTTGTTCTTATTTTCTGGTGATTCTGGCTGTGCTACGGATGCCCTCAGCAGCCAGCAAACACAAGGCTTTCTCCACTTGTGCTTCTCATCTGGCTGTGGTGATCCTGTTTTTTGGCTCCGTTATGGTGATGTATGTGAACCCTGGATCAGGACACCCAGTGAAAATGCAAAAAATTGTTACCTTGTTTTATTCTGTGATAACACCTCTGTGTAATCCTCTAATATACAGCCTCAGAAACAAGGAGATGTTGGCTGCTCTGAGGAAAATCTTTAAGATTGAACAAATTCCTCATAAAATATAAATGAGAACCAAATTCTATCTCTCAAATACAACCTTCTATAATAAAACATTAGTGGCATATTTGTCTGCAAGATTCATTAAGTTTTATTAATAGACTATTTATTATAATAAGACCTCATTATCATCTTAAGCACCACTCATCATCAGATGCCTAGAGTCTCTTTCAAGAAAACTGTATTTAACAAATGAATTAGATTTTGTGTTGAAATTAATATGAAACATATATTTTGTTTTATTTACACCTACTCACTTACTGATTATGTCTTTGTCTAAATTTCCCATTTATCACAATAGTAAAAATTCTACTATTCAATTATTTTGTACATTAACAACATACATCTGACAGTAACAAATGCTAAGTTATGAGGCGAGAGCAATGTTGGCTATGATGATTAAGGTTATGTGTTAACTTAGCTGGACTATAATTCTCAGTGCTTTGGCAGTTATGTAAATTGATATAGTCATTCACCATTTTTGCAAAACACCAATATTTTCATAATGACCTGAACTATGAAATCTAACCATGTCGATAAGTAAGGAGTTGGTGTAGTTGTAATACAATTTCTAAAGGAAGGCAATAGAAGTCTTCTTTGTATTACTGATCTGAAACAACTTATACACATATAATAAAGAACAGACTGCTTTGGGGATTAGCATCGTAAGCCAAAATTCTCCATTGAGAGATATTGACTGAAAAAGCAGATCCATATGTGAAAGCAGTCCACCTTCACAGAGTGTGCTTTTCCAGCTACCTCTAAGGAAGGACAAGCAGCCTTCACTTTAAGGATCCTTAAGAAACAATATTAGGTAGCTGTTAAGTGAGTGTTCATAGAATTCACAAAATAAGGATTAGGAATTTAAAATGTATTATAGAATGGAATATAGTAAAGGTAAGAGCTAAATATAAACCATCAAGCATTACTCAAGACTTACCTTACAATAACTCCAGTTTAAACAATAGTTTCTGATAACACATATGGTTTAATGGGGGTAGTATGCAATTATGTAAATACTGCTATAAAACTTTAAAATTGTTTCTGTGAAATAATTTATAAACATTGTATGGCAGTTATGTTTGTGTGTCAACTTGGCTAGGCCTGGTTGAATGGTTGGGCAGCTAGCTGTAGCATTTCCCATGATGAGAGTGGTAATCAACTCCAGGTGGATTCTACTGTGAGCAGCTGAGTAGCTGCCTTTGGGTTTGTGGTCTGCTTCCCATATGTAAGAAATAGCTTTGGGAATAGTCTCTAGCTTATGGCACACTTGGACCCTGCATACAGCCATGTTACTGTTCAGCAGCCTGCTGTGCTCTGCTGATCATGGGACTTTCAATGGACTTGAACCAACGGCCTGCTCTGTGGTTTGGTAACATAGAGACTGTGCCATTTTATTTGCCGACCTTGGGCTTGTTAGCCTCAGCAGCCAATAGCTGCCTGATTGAAGAGATGCCTCTAGCTTCAGTGGGCTGGGAGCAAGAGGCAGAGCTGAAGCCCAAGGTCGAGGGACTTTCACCCAGCCCCTAGAGCCTGGCACTTTGAACTCGGACTTCTAGCCTCATGAACTGTGAGAGAATAAACTCCTGTTTGTTCAAACATTCAACAGAATCAGACTTATTAGTCAGAGCCAACTCAACAGCACCTAACAACAACAACAACAACCTCTTACTTTTCCTATGTTCTCTGTGTACATAGACTCTTCTCTCTACTTGAACAGTGGAGTGCTTTGTACTTTTACTTACCACTAACTAGCTCCCTGTATTCCTCCTCAATTAATTATTCATTAAATAAGACTATTCCTAGCAAGGAAAAAATTTATTTCTCATGTTTCTAAATAAATTGTTCAAATCAAAGATTACTACATGCATGAATATATGAGTTTAACATTGGACATTTCTACCTATGTATTTACATGTGCTGTAAATATACTCATGAATGTAGTAGAGCATACACGGGGCAAAATTTTGAAAACTTTTAGCCATAATAAAACACTTTGAGGGAATAAGTCACTGGGACTGGGGCACAGGACCATACACTCACAGGACTCTACAGTCAATTGGCATAACAGTCCACAAAGACAACATTCTACACCCTAGGTTGATGAATAGCGACTGAGGTCTAAAAAGCTTGTGAGCTTTTATCTAATGTGCAGCAGCCATTGATGTCTGCCTCTCTGGAGCAAAGAAGAGTGAAGAAAATCACAGATACATGGAAACATTAGTACAAAGGACTAATGGACCATATGAACCACAGCTTTCATACCCTGAGACCGGAAGAGCCAGATGGTGCCCAGCTACCATTGCTGGACACTCTGATAGAGATCACAATAGGAGATCCTGGATAAAGTAGAAGAAAAACGTGGAACAAAACTCAAAGTCATAAAAAGAAAAAAAGACCTGGCTTACTAGTTTTATAGAGACCATGGGATCCCCAGACAGTGGGGGATCCTTCAAGCTGGGAACTGAACTCACTGTTGTGGCTCAACTTTCAGCCAAACAATATTGTTGTTAGGTGCTGTCAAGTCAGATCTGACACATAGTGACCCATTGTACAGCAGAACAAAACACTGCCTGGTCCTGCACCATTCTCTCAAGTGTTGCTATGCTTGAGCTCATCATTGTAGCCACTGTGTTAATCCATCTCATTGAGGTTCTTCCCCTTATTCACTGACCCTCTACTTTCCCCAGAATGATATCCTTCTCCAGGGACAGGTCCTTTCTGACAACATGACCAAAGTGTGAGAGACTAAGTCTGGCCATTCTACCTTCCAAAGGACATTCTGGCTATACTTCTTCCAAAACAGCTTTTTTCAGACTTCAAGTAGTCCATGACACCTTCAATATTCTTCCCCAGCACCACAATTCAAAAGCACCAATTCTTCTGCGGTCTTCTTTATTCACTATCCAGTTCTCACACGCATGTGAAGCAATTGAAAACTCCATGGCTTAGGTCAGGTGCACCTTAATCTTCAGTGACATCTTTTCTCTTTAACACTTTATAGAGGTCTTTTGCAGCAGATTTTCCAAGTATAATAAGTCATTTTATTTCTTGACTGCTGATTCCATGATTGATTATGGATCCAAGTAAAATGAAATCCTTGACAACCTCAATCTTTTCTCCATTTATCATGATGTTGCTTGTTTGTTCAGTTGTGAGGATTTTTATTTTCTTGATGTGCAGGTACCAATACTAAAGGCTGTAGTCTGATATTCATCAGTAAGTGCTTCAAGTCTTCTTCATTTACAGCAAGAAAGATTGTGTCATCTGGACATCACAGGTTGTTAATGATCCTGATGGTGGGTTCTTTGTATTCTGGCATCTCTGATTATTTGCTCAGCGTTCAGATTGAATAAATATAGGGAAAGAATACAACACGGATGTACACCTTTCCTGATTCTAAATGATACAGTAATCCTTGTTCTGTGTAAACAGCTGCCTCTTGGTCTATGTGTTCCTCAAGAGCACATGTAAGTGCTCTGGAATCCCCACTCTTTGCAGTGTTATCCATAACTTGTTGTGATCCACACAGTCAAATGTATTGACATAGTCAACAAAAGTAAACATCTTTCTGGTGTTCCTTACTTTCAGCCAAGATCTATCTGACATCAGTAATTATCCCTCATTCCACACCCTCTTCTGAACCTGGCTTGAATTTCTGGAAGTTTCCTGTCAATGTACTGCTGCAACTATTTTTGAATTATCTTCTGCAAAATTTTACTTACATGTGGTATTAATGATATTATTCAATAATTTCTGCTCGATCACCTTTCTTTGGAATGAGCACAAATATGGGTCTCTTCCAGTCAATTGGCCAAGTAGCTGTCTTCCAAATTTCTTGGTACAAACCAGTGAGCACATCTAGCACTTCATTCATTTATTGAAACATCTCAATGGGTACTTCTTCAGTTCCTGGAACCTTGCCTATTGCCCATTCCTTCAGTGCAGCTTGGACTTCTTCCTTCAGTTTACTGGTTCTTGATCATATGTTCACTCCTGAAATGGCTGAATATCAACCAACTCATTTTGATACAGTGACTCTGTGTATTCCTTCCATGTTCTTTTGATGTTCCTTGCATGTTCCAATATCTAGCTATTAGAATTCTTCAATATCTGAACCAGAGGGTTGCACTTTTTCTTCAGTTCTTTCAGCTTGAGAACTGCTGATCATGTTCTTCCCCTTTGATTTTCCATCTCTAGGTCTTTGCAGGTAATGGGGGAGAGAGCCCTTACCCAGGCACCCACACAAGAAGCAGGAGCCAGGGCCGACAACCAGCACAAGTAGAGGAAAGGCCAGGAAGTGGGCAGAGCAGTTTTGGAATGGCCAAGAAGTGGGCAGAGCAGTTTTGGAACAGCTAAGGGAGACAAACTTGTCTGTCAGTTTGTCGTTTGTGGTGGCTTGCATGTTGCTGTGAGGCTGGAGGCTGTGCCACCAGTATTTCAAACACCACCAAGGTTGCCGTGGTGGATGGGTTTCGGTGGCGCTTCCATACGGAGACAGACCTGGAAGATGGAAGAGGCCATATACTTCTCAAAGAACTTGCCAGGGAAAACCTTATGAATAACAGTGAAACACTGATATATTATGAGACAATTCTATGAATAGCCCTGAAACATTGTCCGATACAGTGCTGGAAGATGAGCCCCTCAGGTCAGAAGGCACTCAAAATACCATTGGGAAAGCACTGCCTCATCAGAGAAGAACTGAACTTAATGATACAGTTAAAGTAGAGCTTTCAGGACCTCCATTTGTTAATGTGGCATGACTCAAAATGAGAAGAAACAACCACAAACATCCATTAATTATCAGAACATGGAATGTATGAAGTATGAATCTAGGAAAATTGGAAGTTGTCAAAAATGAAATGGAATGCATAAAGATTGATACCCTAGGCATTAGTGAGCTGAAATGGACTGCTTTTAGCCATTTTGAATCAGATCACCATATGATTTACTATGCTGGGTGACAAGTTGAAGAGGAATGGCATGGCATTCATCATCACAAAGAATGCTTCAAGATCTATCCTGAAGTACAATGTGGTCAATGACAGGATAATATCCATACACCTACAAGGAAGGACAGTTACTAATACTACTATTACTCAAACTTACACCCCAACCACCAAAGCCAAAGATGAGGAAATTGAAGGTTTTAACCAACTTCTGCAGTCTGAAATTGACCAAAGATGTAATCAAGATGTGCTGATTATCACTGTTGATTGGAATACATAAATTGGAAACAAAGAAAAATCACTAGTAGTTGGAAAATTTGGCCTTGGTGATAGAAATAACACTGGAGATAGCATGATAGAATTTTGCAAGACCAGCAACTTATTCATTGCAAACACCTTTTTTCAACAAAACAAATGACAGCTATACACCTGGACTTCACCAGATGGAGTACACAGGAATCAGATTGACTATATCTGTGGCAAGAGGCAATGGAGAAGCTTAATATCTTCAGCCAAAATAAGGCCAGGAGCTGACTGTGGAACAGACCATCAACTGCTCATATCCAAGTTCAGGTTGAAGTTGAAGACAATTAAAACAGTTTAAGAGAGCCAAAATATGACCTTGAATAAATCCCTCCTGAATTTAGAGACCATCTAAAGAAAAGATTTGATGCATTGAACACCAATGACCAAAAACCAGAGGAATTGTGGGATGACATCAAGAACATCATCCATGAAGAAAGCAAAAGGTCATTAAAAAGACAGGAAAGGAGATAACTTTCACTTTCTGGCCAAATCAGAGACTTGGTTATGAAGATCATCTTGCTCAACCTACTATGGCTCAGCCAGGAACTCTGAACCTCAATAACGAGGTTGTGAAGATGAGGAAAGATATAAAGAGAATCTGAGTTTTGGTTATCTGAAAACTCTTCAGGAATGTTGGCCGACTGAAGTCAAAAAGAGGTTCTGAATATGCAATGTTAAAAAAACCAAAGACAGGTACAGCAATTACTTGAAGAAATTGACATGCCATGAAGGAACTGAAACCTGATGAAGTAACAAAATCTGCTCTTGGTGACGATATAAACTTTGAAAACATCTGCAAAAAGCCAGAGTCTACTGTGACTGAAAGGGCAACTGCTAGACTAGCAATACACCCTCTTCTGAAGAAAAAAATAGATGTGCTAAAAGCTGCTATCAAAGGCTTTAAAGATGCAAGACAAAATGTTGCTGAAGTTAAATCATCAAATGCATCAGCAGAAAATTGTTCCAAGGACACAAATAATGATGAAAGGAAGTTGAAGCATAAAGGTACTATTATCAGTGAGCAGAAAGAGAAAGAAACCAAAAAACTGGCAAAAATTTTAAAAAAATAAAAAGCCTCAAAAGAAAAACTGGACAAGATGAAACATGGGCCTACAGCAGTGAACATTCCAAATTCTCCATCAAACCCTTCTGTACAGAATTCTATAGTTTCATCTCCACCCTAGAAGACAACTGCTGACCCAAAAATGAAAACATTAAATCAAATCAAAAAAAAAAAAAAAGGGTCCAATAGCTCACTTAGTGATAACAGTGATGGGGAAGAATTACATGAGGAAGAAGAGGGCTATTTTGATGACAGCACAAAAGAAAGGTTGTACAAACAGTCTTCCACGTCTGAGGATAGTGATAATGGTGATGACTTCTTCATTGGGGAAGTCAGACGGACACACAAGAAAAGAAAGTAAACACGGTTCTTCAACTGAGGAACAAAAAAAATAAATAAAAATGTTTCCTGAAGAAGAAATACTCAAAACGCACTGGGATATGAAAGATGACAAAAACAAACCAGATATAGAACCCAGGAAGTTTGAATCAGTGTTTTTCCACTCATTATCTGGATCTAAAAGCTTCAGAAGAAGTTCCAGAGAGCAGACTCTGAAAAGCAAAATCCCAGATTTTCAGCAAAGTGAACCTCAGATCAAGAATGAATTTAATAAGAGTAAACAAAGATGACTTGACAATACAAAACAGCAATTGCAGCTGTCTCTTCATCCTTTGTGGGAAGTAAGCAGGAGACAAAAAGAACAGCAATCTAAAATTGCCATATTTAAGTGGGAAAAAAATACATTGGATGATTAATGCCTATTTTTGTGAAGTTTTCTATCTAACAAAAGATTTTTTAATGAACCTATTATTTAAAATTATGATTGGATTATTCTTCTTTAACCAAACTCACTGTCATTGAGTCAGATTTGACTCATAGCAACCCCTCCTTGGGTTTCCAAGATGGTATCACTACAGAAGGAGATTGCCCAGCCTTCCTTCTGAGGAGTGGCTGGTGGGTTTGAACCATGAGCCTTCTGGTTACCAGTCAGATGCCTTAGGCACTACACCACCAGAGCTCCCTAAGTATAGATATAAATTTGTAATTGTCCTTGGTTTTCATTCTGGTAGCATAGTGCCTAAGGCACTTGATTGTTAACCAGGAGGCTGGTGGTTCAAACCCAACAGCCACTCCTGGGAAGGAAGATGGGGCAATCTACTTCCATAGTGATACTGCCTCGGAAACCCAAGAAGGGATCACTATGAGTCGGATCCGACTCAATGGTACATAACAACAACAACAACATGTTATGTTTACATACGTCTTTCACAAATCAAGAGTGTAACTATAGTTGCATTTTTCATAATATGTCCCATGATATTTGCTCTAGATTTTCCCATTTGTGCTTATCATGAAGAGTATTCACCGCTTCACCTCTATGGTTTTTGCTTTGAATATAAATTTTGAGATACATTTTAAATAATAATGGAAAGCAATGAGGAAATTATAGCTTTTATATAGTCAGATAACCTTTATTAAAACTTGTAGTTGTTACCAAAACCAGATAATAACTTTTATTATGGACATACAGATAATAAATTATACAAATAAATATTAATATTTAAAACTTAAAAAAAAAAAAAAAGACAGGAGAGGAAGACCAAAATGGATGTCAGAAGAGACTATGAAACTTGCCCTTGAGCAAAGAGTAGCTAAAGCAAATGGAAGAAATGACAAGACAAAACAGCTGAACAGAAGATTTCAAAGAGCAGCTCAAGAAGACAAAGTCAATTATTATAATGTGCAATGTCCTGGAGTTCGAAAACCAAAAGGGAAGAACATGCTCAGCATTTCTCAAGCTGAAAGAACTGAGGAAAAAAATTTAAGCCTCAAGTTGCAGTATTGAAAGATTTTATGGGCAAAATATTGAATGATGCAAGAAATATCAAAAGAAGATGGAAGTAATATAATACACAGAGTCACTGTACCAAAAAGAATTGGCCAATGTTCATCCACAGCAGGAGAAGGCATATGATCAAAAACCAATGGTATTGAAGGAAGAAGTCAAAGCTGCACTGAAGAAAGTAACCAAAAAAAAAAAAAAAAAGGCTCCAGGAATTGACAGAATACCCATTGAGATGTTTCAACAAATGGATGCCATGTTGGTGGCACTCATTCAGCTACACTAACAGATTTGGAAGACAGCTATCTGGCCAGCTGACTCAAGGAGATCCACATTTGTACCCATTGCAAAGAAAGGTGATCCCACAGAATGTGGAAATTATTGAACAATATCATTAATTTCACACACAAGTAAAATCTTGCTAAAGATAATTCAAAAAAGGTTGCAGCAGTATATTGACAGAGAACTTCCAGAAATGCAAGCTGGATTCAGAAGAGGATGTGGAATGAGGGATATCGTTGCTGATGTCAGATGGAT